ACACCCCAGGGTGCTCAAGGAGCTGGCGAGCATCATAGCCCAGCCCCTGGCACGGATCTTCGAGAGCTCCTGGTGCTCTGGTGAAGTGCCCGAGGACTGGAAGAAGGCCAATGTGGCGCCTATCTTCAAGGAAGGGAGGAAAGTGGATCCAGCTACCTATAGGCCCATCAGCCTGACTTCTGTCCTGGGGAAGATCTTAGAAAAGTTTATCCAACCCTACCTATTAGCATACTTAAAAAAAAAAAAAGAGAAAAAAAAAGCTGCTTTAGCTCTTATGAAAAGCATAATACTGCTACAATCTGATAATATCCTTAATTATTATACCACACAACAAGGATTTACTTACGCTTCGTCAATGTTGGGATGGAAAATTTTATTCATGAATCCTGTAAAGAGATGCACATTGGTAAATATTAGAAAGAAGGCACTGAACAGGGTTTACAGAAAAGGAGGCAGGCTATTTACTTAGTGAGCCCTCATCTCAATAAAGTTCATTGGAAGCCCTGGGTTAGCTATACATAGTAATGTGACCTTTAAAATGTGCAAGTTCCATTTTGACCCAAGGGTCCTCAGCTGTTCCCTTCAAGTTCATCAAAAGCTCCTGTTTATGTTGCAATTGTATTCTGAGATTTTGCAGTCCAGTATCATCTCAAAAAGCCATTTCCCCATCAGAACCATGAAGCACATGCTCTTTGCTTCTCCAAGCTGCAAGGGGTTTTAGAACAAATACTGTAAACACAAAGACTTAAGCTCAACGTTTGCTCAAGGATTAAATTTTCTTTTTTTAAATGTTGCCTAACCAAAGGTCTTCAATAAATTTCCAATCTTAGTATTAAGTAGTATTTGCTACGCACGTAGCTACCTTTCTGCAGCACCGGGAGCCCCTAACACTTACCAACTGTTTTACAGAACAGCGACAGGACAAACTGTACCCCAGGTCTTTAGCAAGTACAGCAAGGGAAGTACTGCAGTTTCAAGACTCTGGAAGGTGTCAAGCTAAAAACCTGTTTTTGTTCAATACTTTTTTTTGTTCCGGCCTGGAAACAAGCATATTGAAAGACCCTGTGGTTTAGACAGTCACAGTATCAAACTAACCTGCAACCTCCTTATGTCCGTATCCAGCTACAGGTAAGCCATGTTCTTCAGGCAGCTGACTGAGGTTAGTTTAAACCAGTGGCTCTCAATATTTTTACACTCATGACACTCCTCAAAACACCCCTCTTACCTTCTCACTCACTTTTTGACTACAGAAAAAAAAAAAAAAAAAAAAAAAACTCAACCCAACAGAGCAATTCTGCTGCAAAGGAATCAGAAATTCTGAGCTGTTGGGGTCTGGTTTCCACACTATGGGTTTCTATTTGAAATGTCCAGGTGTGAATAGACTCACTAGGGGGGACCAGAAGGGTTTGGGGGAGACGCTGTTTCCCCTAGCGCCCGCTGGCATAACAAGAAGCAATGGACACAAGTTGATGGAGAGGAGGTATAGACTGGACATCCGCAAGAACTACTTCACAGTTAGGGCGGCTAGGAGCTGGAACCAACTTCCAAGGGAAGTGGTGCTGGCCCCTACCCTGGGGGTCTTTAAGAAGAGGCTGGATGCCTACCTGGCTGGACTCATTTGAGTCCCGTCTCTTTTTGGGGTTTTTTGTTGTTCTCCCGCCCTGGCGGGGGGTCGGGCTAGAAGATCTACTAGGTCCCTTCCGACCCTTAATCTATGAATCACCCAGAATCTTGTGCATCGTGTTTGCACATCACTGTGCAGCCCCCAATGGCACTCCTGAAAGGATTATAAGGCATGCCAGGCTGCTGTGGCACCCAGAGGGAGAATCATTGGGTTACGCTCATCCTCAAGATAAGTGCAGGTGGTACCAAAACTGCCCCAAATACCTATCTCCCCAAAAGAGACACCTCAGTCTATTTGTTTTATAATACCGGCATGTTGCATTAGGTGCTCTAAACTACAAGGATATTGAAGAACAGCAAGTCCCTGCCCCTCACAGTTTAAGTGTACCATATTCTCTAAACAGTAGCGAAAGCAAAGCTAGACTTCCACTAACTGACTGCTGGAATTAAAAACAAGATACTATAGTGAAAAAAAGAACCCCAACATTACAAAAGCCTAATAAAAGATTGCTATGGGGATACAAGGGAATTTAAAGTAATGATATCTCCCTTTCAGCTAGGAGGAATATCTGTTTGTGTATCTACTAACTTGTCACTGAACAGTTTTAGCTCTTTATATGTTCTCCATAAAAGCTGTTCTTACCTTCATTTTTATATCATTAAGGAATTGGGTTTCCATCGAAAGCTTTTTGACATTTTAACACTGCTATCTTCCAGAATTTAAAATAAAGCCTCCTTTGCTTTGTGCATTACCTCTGAGACAAGTGCCACCCTGGGAATATTACTGGCCAGGGAAATGTTCCTTGCCTTTTCTGCAATAAGGAGACGCTTGTCTGCTCTTGTCTCTAAAAAGAGAGATAGTTACCAAGGCCTTTATGTATAAAAACAGGAAGAAGATTCAAATGATATTGAAGATAGTTAAATCTGGGGCACTGGTTTTACTTCATCCCTTTAAACAGGATCCATATCTATTGTATCCTCAAAGGACAGCTAAAAATATTTTCTATTTCAGTAGAGACAAGTTTTACACTTGCAAAGTTGTAATGCAAGTCAAGACCGTGTTGGCGGTCTGAGTTCGACAAACTCAGTGCCTCTATATAACCTTATGTTTGGCTACTCTTCAGTAAAGTCACGAAATATTGATACACCATCTCCAGCCAAGAGAGGAAGTGATCTCAACTTGTGAGTGACAGAATGAATCCCAGCTGGGGTAGGAGAGTTGACATATGGAGTTAACTCTATTCCTTTCCATGCATTTAAAACATGAGTGTAGTTTAATTTTTGCTGGAATGGCTCAGAATTCACATATATACAGACAACGTGAGATTGAAATGATGCCCCAAGTCATCACAGACCAGAGACCAAGCCTGAATCGGAGGTTGCGTTGTGCCACGGACTAGACCCACAGGGAATGATGGTTCACTGTAAAAGGCTTTACCAGGTAGAGATGACAGAAGTGGGGAGAAGGATGAAGTAACAGAAATAAGATGCAGACGCACGAGCGAGCTGAGCTTCTGGAAGTACGCTCTCTATTCCTACCTCCAAGATTCAAGCCCTGCCACCCCCCAACCTGAGTTGTACTGTGGTTCTTGCCACCTCCTGCAGAAGACAACAGCATCTGCAGCTGTCACAGCATAGTCCTTTACTCCTTTCTGCTATACTCCAACATACTCAATCCTTGGCTCCACCAGAGCAGCTGGAAATGCCCTTTTGCAAGAGCGATTCCTCAGCCAAGTGTTTCTCTAACTGGAGAGTCAAACTCACTCGGCCCTCAAGGGCTGGATGTGAACTGAGGGGCTCCTTGCAGGCCAAGTTCAGACACACCAGGTCAGGGAGCCATGTGGATTAATGCAGCCACCGCTCACCCTAGTGCTGTCAAAACATATCCCCAACAGGACTCTGTACCTGGGTATTTGGCAGCAGGCCCCACACCCAAATTCGCAGCCTCTCCAAGAAGCCCTGTGGATGAAACAACACAGCTCCAAGGGTCAGAACTGGCCCACAGATCATATACCTGACACCCCTGATATGCAACATCTGCCAAGCCATTCACTTCATTATGCATGTAGATGCTTAGGCTATATTCTAAAATTGTGGAGAGCTCAAGGAAGCAAGTCTGTCTATTCAAGTATTATACACACACCGGTCATCTCGTTTATTCTTTTATGAAAACAATACTTGAGGCCTCATAGCTAGAAGACTAACCATCCCCTTCACGATGCCCTAAGGTTCAAGTTCTCCAAAGGAAATGGCTCGTCTCCTGTTCTACAAGGAGAAACACAGCATCACGCCATCATTTTTAGCTGCTTAATTCGTTACAAAGCCTCATTTGTTAATCTTTTAAGACACTGGCCAAGTCACGAGAAATTGAAGGCAACTTATTACGTACCAAACTGATCTGCAATTAAGTACAGTTCTGTCCAGCCCCTCTCCTTCCTTATGCCCCATCTGTGACTAAGACCTTCAAACCTTTGTTGTCCAATAACAAATTAGACGTTTCGGTCACCTAGCCCTGGCCTAATAGAAAAAAAATGTAGTAACATACGAAGATCAAGTTGGCCTATACTTGCAAATAGAGATCATAGTTGAAATGGGAGACCTCTGACATGACATTTGTTTAAGGGACTCTAGACCTGTAAAAACCAAAGCTCTTTCCAGCTGATTTTGAAGAACATACCTAAGTTCTTAAAAGCAAGATCTTCAATAATACAGTACAGCCTTGATCAAAATGTCACGCAGCGCTCCAAATAAGCTGATACCAAGATACTTTTCAGGGTAATACATATTAAAGGACATGACCCTGTTTTGAATAATCAAGGTTATACTGTACTGGTTATGCAAAAGGTTGAAGTCAGTCTAGTTTCTGCAAGTACACCTGTATCACAAAATTACAGCATCTTTTTTTGGACAATGCACCAGGCTACATTATAAAGCCTTATTTGTATGTACAACACTTATTATAGACATTTAGTCAGATGGCATGGTGCAAATACCGTGCTTTAGACATTTAACAACTGAAAAAAGCCAATGTTGGTTTGAAATTATAAATGGAAGCGGGATGCTATCCGAATTTCAGCTGCTTGTGCATGCAAGTCAGGCTATTTCAAGAACTGTATTCTAAGACCCTCTTTTTCCTGCTAAACAGAGAAGATCTATCCATGAAAGTGATCAGCAGAAAGTGACAACCACCTTGATACTGATGGGCTCAATGGGCATATTTAGACTGCCTCGCAAAAATACTTTGCGGTAAGATCTGAAGTAGCCATTGCTTTGGTTGATAGATCTTCAGCAGAGAAATGTATTTCTGTAGACTTCCTTTCTGCACGTAACTTAGACGGCTGCCAACTCTTCCTTGGCTGCTCCAAACAAAATAAATGTACAAATCTGTAAAGTTCCAAAAACTGGACAGGTTTTAGTGCACACTCTTGGCATCTAAACTTTGACATTTCCTCTTGGAGATTTCGGGTCTTGGCAAAGTGACAGGAAAATAGGGTCCTGGCATCTGAAGTTCAACAACAAAGAGAAGCTTGAAAATAGATTGCAAATATAGAGCCCCCCTAGTACTAATGGACCTACAAACGCTGATTTTTAACTGAAGAGAGCTATGAGTGAACATATTTTACAGACTACCTTCCAAGTCAACTAAGTTCAAGTGGACCACTGTTCACATCGATTTCTTTGTTAGGAAAAGCTTCCGACAACTGACTCCATGGACATACCCCAAAGTATGTCCTCAATCTCCATGGATAGATTTATGCTTCTG